TAGAGAGTTATTTTGTTACTAGCTGTCGACCGGGTCATTACTAACAACTGGTGCGGGGTCGCGCCGGCTTTTTCGTAGGTGCATAACATGTCATCATGGCGTACACTGTCAAAGGCTGTATCCACGTCTTGGCTAAAGAATGCCCGCCCAGAATATTTCCACTTGCTTGCGTACCCAACCGCCTCAAACGCCGGAACGAGTTGATCGTCGCAGCGTGGCCCCGATGCTCGCGTAGCTCCATGCGCCGTAAAGTGTGTACAAGTGGTCCATCAGCCCGAGCCATCTGTACTTACGCAGGCTTGATGGGTTCGTCTCTTTGGGGATGCCGTGCGATACAAAATTCGCCCAGCTATCCAGGTCCTCGGTCGTCCAGTCGACTTCCTTCAGCTTCATCCAGCGCGGTGCCATTTCCCACACTTTCCCCAAAATGTTATCTGGCCCCGGCGCGGCTGTAGACGACATTCGATATAGAAGCTGGGCAAAATCAGCAAAAGTAGGTAGATCGTATAGTATGTCATCTAGCTGCGCTGCCTTGGCTAATTAGCCTGGCGAAGGACCCAACCATATGCAACTGTGAATACCGCAAGTGTGAATATCGTTTTCGGCGGCGCTGCCTCTGGGTAGTGGAGACGCATGCGAACACCCCCACTGGGGCCTTCGGTGGAGCTCCCTCTGGGGCTACGAAACGCTGCCCTGGGTGGGGGAACCGCATGCAGGCAGCCCCACTGGGGCCTTCGGTGGAGCTCCCTGTGGGGCCACGAAACGCTGCCCTGGGTGGGGGAACCGCATGTGGACACCCCCACTGGGGCCTTCGGTGGAGCTCCCTCTGGGGCTACGAAACGCTGCCCTGGGTGGGGGAACCGCATGTGGACACCCCCACTGGGGCCTTCGGTGGAGCTCCCTATGGGGCTACGAAACGCTGCCCTGGGTGGGGGAACCGCATGCAGGCAGCCCCACTGGGGCCTTCGGTGGAGCTCCCTGTGGGGCCACGAAACGCTGCCCTGGGTGGGGGAACCGCATGCGGGCACCCCCACTGGGGCCTCGGTGGAGCTCCTCTGGGGCTACGAAACGCTGCCCTGGGTGGGGGAACCGCATGTGGACACCCCCACTGGGGCCTTCGGTGGAGCTCCCTATGGGGCTACGAAACGCTGCCCTGGGTGGGGGAACCGCATGTGGACACCCCCACTGGGGCCTTCGGTGGAGCTCCCTCTGGGGCCACGAAACGCTGCCCTGGGTGGGGGAACCGCATGTGGACACCCCCACTGGGGCCTTCGGTGGAGCTCCCTATGGGGCCACGAAACGCTGCCCTGGGTGGGGGAACCGCATGTGGACACCCCCACTGGGGCCTTCGGTGGAGCTCCCCACGAAACGCTGCCCTGGGTGGGGGAACCGCTGGACACCCCCACTGGGGCCTTCGGTGGAGCTGGGGCTACGAAACGCTGCCCTGGGTGGGGGAACCGCATGTGGACACCCCCACTGGGGCCTTCGGTGGAGCTCCCTCTGGGGCTACGAAACGCTGCCCTGGGTGGGGGAACCGCATGTGGACACCCCCACTGGGGCCTTCGGTGGAGCTCCCTATGGGGCCACGAAACGCTGCCCTGGGTGGGGGAACCGCATGTGGACACCCCCACTGGGGCCTTCGGTGGAGCTCCCTCTGGGGCTACGAAACGCTGCCCTGGGTGGGGGAACCGCATGTGGACACCCCCACTGGGGCCTTCGGTGGAGCTCCCTCTGGGGCTACGAAACGCTGCCCTGGGTGGGGGAACCGCATGTGGACACCCCCACTGGGGCCTTCGGTGGAGCTCCCTCTGGGGCTACGAAACGCTGCCCTGGGTGGGGGAACCGCATGTGGACACCCCCACTGGGGCCTTCGGTGGAGTTCCCTATGGGGCTACGAAACGTGTGAGAGGTGTGCCGAGAGCAGAGGCAAGGAGGGGGAGGAGGGAGGAGGGGGAGGAGGAAGGAGAGGAACGCGGGGCACCGTCTCTTCAAAACGAGGACCCAACACCACAGGATGGTTGGGAAAAATTTGTACAACGTAATTTTGGCCCTCACTGCTTCAATGCTCTCGGGCAATCCCGTGAATTTTTGCGACGCTATTTCCCCCCAACGCTTCGTTCCAAGTTCTCCTGTCGTCTGTCTTGCACCCTCCAATCTCCGAAAATAAATAAAACAGGGCTAGGATCGGGATAAATCGCTCCAGAGCGTTCCGGAGCGCTCTCAGAGCGTTCCGCAACGCTCTGGAGCGGCCGCGGCGCCCAATACATCCTCCAAACCCGCCGATTCTCAGAGATTTCGAGTTATCCCGATCCGATTTTGTCCCGATCCTCGCGTCGCTTTTATAAAGGAGGCGCTGCCCTGCCCTGCTTGTTGTGGCGGCCTTTCCTTTTCCCTGGTGCATGACGTTTCGCTCCGGCCTGCCGGCCCTTCCTCCACACGCCTGCGTCTGCCACTGCAGCCCCGCCTGCACAGAAAAAACCTCCCACGCCACAGGTCCCGGCGAGGTGACAGTGGCCTGTTGTATGCTGCACTGCCTGGACACATGCACTCAAAGATGCGCAATTGTTTGTCAATGTATGCCACAACGTCGCCTTCCATGGAAAATCGCTCAGATCCCATGTACATTGGGCCTGGATGGTCGACGGTTTCTCAAACTTTGGCGCCAACGCCTAATGAAGATCCCCAAAATCGATGTCGACACGCACAGGGTAATGATCCGACTTGCACACTTCCCAAAAAGAGCTTCCATCCACCTCCCAGTCGGCCCAAACATGATAAAGGGAACGAACGTCGTAACCTATGTAACCGATCTGGGATTTCGTCCTCGAAGTCCGTTTTCTCCCCGGCTTTGTGATCACCTCAGCGTCAGTGGCAACCGGAGCGAACGCATTTCCCAGCTGCAAGAAATGGCTGCACAAAAAACGTGCGGAACTGTCCTGCTTCGGTTGGTTGTGGCTCGGTATTGCCCTCGCCCTGTGCTCTCCGATGCGTGTGCCCAGAGCATGGCTAAAGGATACACTGGCGTCAAACCCATAAAAATCGTGGCTGCATACTTTTGGACTGCACCAGCTTGCGCGCATGATGCTCGCGCTCATGCTGGTTAGCGTGTCGCTGCTGGCGTGACCACGTGAGATGTAGTCTGTAATATGTCAAGAAACAACAATCACACTGGCGATCACAACAACGCTATAGTGTTCCCCATGGGTCTCCCACGTGATGTTAGATACCATGCGTGTCGGAATAAATATGGCCCAATCGCATCCCTCCACCGTGCGACATGCGTGTTCACAAAGATTGGAACAACTCCAGCTACACCGTGCTGGCAACTCCTTACCGTGTTTGATCCTGGTCCTGGGCCTCTTTTGTGCGTTCCAAGACACAGATGTGAAACGAGTACGTTCATGCAGTGAACTCCAGCCTCTGTGTCTCCCATCCTCGCCGCCATCCGAAAAAGGCCCCACGTTGTGCGAAGAAGGGCTGGAATGGTCTGCTTGTTCGGACGTGATCAGTCGACCCGTTGCTTATGTTTGCTGAATTGTTGGTGATGGTGCGCTGTAGTTGCTAGAGTCGCCGTTGAAGTGGCCCCAGGCGTTCAGCGACTTGATGCTCAATGCGCTGCTGGAGAGGTTCGAGACGACGTTGCATTGCGGTTCGCAGGAGCTCCGCAAAGAGTGCATCCAGCCCAGACTCGTCCACTTATGCCATCAGAGAAGCATTCAAGGTGCCCATCTGTCTCCTGAGCTCGTCCGCAACCTCTTCCTGCAAGGTCCGCTCAACAGGAGCGGTAGCATTGTCCCCTGCGTCGGTCCGAATGAAAGATCCATCGGCAAGAACCCTAGGCATGCGTGGGCATTGCTTCAGCGACCTTGGGCCTTGAGCCAACCTCCTCTTCATCACCCCATCCCTCCACGTCTTCAGATTCATCTCTACCTTCCTCGTCCTCCTGGCGATCCCCCTCATGAGCATCGTCATCATCATCATCATCATCATCACCACCACCACCACCACCATCATCATCATCATCATCATCATCATCATCATCATCATCATCAGCAGCAGCAGCAGCAGCAGCAGCAGCATAATCATAATCATCATCATCATCATCATCAGCAGCAGCAGCAGCATCTGCATCATCAGCAGCATCATCATCGTCAACAGCATCATCATTAGCATCATCAGCATCATCATCAGCAGCATCATCATCAGCATCGTCATCATCATCACCATCATCATCGTTGTCGTCATAATCATCATAAGCATCATCAACATAGTCATTCGTATCACCACAATCATCAGCATCATCACCGTCATCATCATCAACCTCATCAGCATCATCATCGTCCTCGTCCATCATCGTCATCATCATCAGCAGCATCATCATCACAACCATCACCACCAGCATCCTGTTCCTCATACGACTCATCAACCTCGTGAACCGCCCCCACCTTCTCCTAATCATCAGCCATCAGAAGCATCATCAGTATCACCGTCGTCAGATTGATAATCAGCAGCATAACCACCACCATCAATGACAACCGTATCAACATCAACATCAGTAGCGCCATTCATGGAATCGCCGTCCTCATTGGTAACAGCATAGCTATCAACGTCACCATCATCACCACCACCACCAACGGCAGCAGCATGGTCATCGTCATCATCGCCCATGTCCTCCTCGCCAGCCTTCTCTTCCCCCTCCTCGTCCTCCTCCTCCTCCTTCCTCATCCTCGCCATCCTCATTGTCTTCCTTCTCCTCCTCCTCCTCCTCCGCCTCGTCCTCCTTCTCCTACTTCCCATTCCTCTCCCCTCCGAACCCTCCACAACATCCATCTCCTTCCCCTCCCTCTCCCCATGCCTCTCCTCACCCCTCTCCTGCCCCTCCTCATCTCCCTTCCCCCACCTGCCCCTACCCCTCTCCCCCTTCCTCGTCCTCCGCCTCCCCCCTCCCTCCTCCCTCCCTCGCCCTTCTCCTCCGCCCCCTCCGTACCGGCGGGCCCCTCGACGTGACCTCTCCCCCTGCTCGCCCGGAGACGGCGCCCGCGGGCAAAAAGTACGTGGGCTCGGCGCGCCGCGGGGGACTCGCTGCAGATTCGCCCCTCGCGGCGCCCGAGGCTCGCGTGGGCCGCGCGCGGGGGGCTTGCGCCGGCGCGGGGCCACTGGCGAGAAAGGGCGGCCATGCGCTGCCCGGCTGCACGCCGGCGCCGAGGGGGCGGCGGCCTGCACTCCGCCTAGGGCGTCCTGCCCTCCGCAGGGAGGCGCAGATAAAGGGGGCGGGGGCGCCGTGCTGCGGCCCCCGAGGGCGGGGCTCCGCGGGGCGGGCTCGGCTCGCTATATGGAGACTCTGCGGGGCGCCACCTGCGGGGCTCCTAGAGGCATCCTAGATGGGGTCGGAGTAGATGGGGTCGGAGGATCGCGCCGCATCGCCGATACATCGGCGATGCATCGGCGATGCATCGGAGATGCGGCGGCGATGCGCCGGCGATGCATCGTCGACATTGGCGGCGCATCGGCGACGCCAGCGCGGAGAAAATCAGGCCCCGCATCGAGCCGCATCGGCGATGCATCAGCGATGTGGCGCAATCCTCCGACCCCATCTACTCCGATCCCACCCAGGAGGCCTAGAGCTCAGGTGATGGCCTCGGGGGCCCCCACAGACTGCAATCCGTGCGGTGTGACCCTACGGTTGGGGCTTCGCGGCTGAGGCCCTGTGCGGGATCGGGTGAGCCAAAGGGGGGGGGGGCAGGATGGGGGGGGTCAGGAAGAAGAGGGGGGTCAGCGCATCATGGCCCGAGGGCCCTGGAGCTCTCGATCATCGCGAGTCGTATCCGATTCAGGCACTGGTCTTGGGGGCCGGGGACGCGAAGAAAAGCGCGGGGCGAACGTTCTGAAACGACAGGGGGCTTCTCAGAAGGCATCGAAGGCTTCGAAGGCATCGGAGGCTTCGAAGGCAGGAGGGATTCGAAGGAGCCCCCTGTCTTCCCAGTGAGGCGCCCCCCCTCGCGCCCCCCGCCCCCTCTGCGCGCCGCCGACGTTGCCCATGGCCTCGGGGCGTAAGAACGGCCCCTGGGTGCTGGAAATGCCACAGCGACATGTCAAAACCGTAGACGACCCCAGACATCCGACGTCGTGATTTCTTCACAGCGTGCTACCCCAGAAGTAACAACCCCTTCCCTGAGACCAGCTTTTCAACATGAGTCGTTTTTGGTCCCCGGGCCTGGCACGGGACCCCAAAGGCCGACAGTAATTGCCAAAAGCAACTTCCTGTCGTGACTTGTTTCACAACGCGAGCATGTCAGGAGTGGACACTGGAGGTCTGAGGAGGCCGGATCAGAGACCCATTGCCTCCGACGTCGTGACCTATTCGAACCTCCCTCCTGAGCCGCGTACGCCACGGCCCCGAGGATCGAGCAGCGTGGAAAGGCAGGGCTGACGAACGAACAACACACACCCATACCCATGCGGGGGTCGTTGGGAGGAGGACTGGCTATGGGTATGGGTGCGGGTTGTTGGACCCCAGGGGGCGCTCCCGTTCGAGCGGGGACCCCATCCGACAACACGCACCCATAGCCCTCTCCGACCCTCCTTGGGTATGGGTGTGTGATGTTCGTTCGTCGAGGGCGTCGTGAGCCTCACAGGCGATCGATACCTTCCACAGCTGCTGCCCCTATACTTCCGGGCGCCACCGAGCCCAGGCCATGGCTGTAAACCTTGGCCTCCTGAGGCGCTGGGACTCCATATCTGCCCCCGCTCTCTACCCCTCGAGGAGGAGGAGGAAGAGGAGGAGGAGGAGGAAGAGGAGAATGATGAGGCGGAGGAGGAGGAGGAGATGGAGGAGGGGGAGGAGGCGGAGAATGAGACGGAGGAGGCGGAGGAGTAGGAGGAGGAGGCAGAGGAGCCGGAGGCCGTGGGGTTGGGGCGCCAGCAGGAGCATGGCGGAAACCTCGGTCGCCGATCTCCGTCCGTCAGAGGGCGGGGAGGCAAAACCTACGGCGGAGTGCAGGCCACCGACGAGTGCCTCTCGCGAGACGGCCGGCGCCAGCGCGCGGCGCAGGGGGGACCTAGGCCCTTCTGGCCCCTCTCAGGCCTTGGAGGACCTGCGGGGCGCGGGGGGGGCTCTCTCTCTCTCTCTCTCACTCTCTCTCGCTCTCTCTCTCTCTCTCTCTCGCTCGGACGCAGGCGTGGGCCCGGCTGGAACATGCAGCACGAGCATCTTATGGTGTATCGTTTCCCGAGCGGTATAGCCAGAAGGCGCCCGCCACGGAGTATACTCTGTAAGAGTTATCGACGCGCGGTATGTTGGGGTGACGCCGACTCTCTGTCTCCCTCTGCGCACCCGAAGCGAGGCCTCCGCCTCCTCCCCCTCCTCCTCATCATCCTCCTCCTCCTCCTCCTCCTCAAACTCCTCCGCCTCCTCCGCCTCCGCCGCCGACTCCGCCTCCTCTTCCTCCTCCTCCTCCTCCTCCTCCTCCTCCTCC